CTCAGTTGCCCATCACAATGTTCTTCACAAGAAAGCCTGCCACTACCCCTGCTGCTACCCCTACAGCCTCACCTGAACCTCAACCCGTGGCAGAATCTGACTCCGTTGCTAACTCTGACTCTAGCGATGTTGGCAGTGACACTGGCAGTTAGAATCCACACACTAGAGTCATCATGCCATGCAGTTACACTCCATATAATCACTTCCATTCAACTGTCATCAGTAACTGCATGGCTGTCATCACCATCATCATCGTCACTGTCACAAGTCGTCAGAGTTTGTCTGCCTAACCTTACGAGTGGTGAGTGTTTTGTTTGTTAATTATTTGTTATTAAACCATAATATGTATATACAATATTTTACGATGTTTTTGTGTGGTTTCTGATTGTTCGTGGTTCAACAGGTTAAGGAAGCAGTATTGTTAGGCTAAGTAAATACTACTATTATATTTCCCTACAATATATTTGCACAACAAAACATTCACGAATGCTACAGTACAGTATGTATTATTATATTTCCCCGACATCATATCTGCACACCAAACATTCATGAATTTTCAAGATTCGTGAGGTTCTTGATCCCTTAACCCTTGCGGATGTGGAGGGCCTCCTGTATATCGTACATTTGTAACCTTCACTTAACTATGTACCTCTTGATTCAATTTCTATAACCTGTCATGTTTAATTTCAATCACTGGAACTTCAGGTTAGAATCACACACGCACCCACATTTACGTATGTACGTACATACATGTGTGTGGGGGGGAGGGAGGGTCTGGCTGGCTAGACACCAAGTTCAACAATGATCAAGTGTTCAAGAAAGCTTGTATGGGATAGGATAAAAGGAATCAAGTCAGGTACATCAGAGATATTAAATGCTAAAGGTGTGGCAATAGTCAAACAAGTAAGCATGGAAAGAAAAACAAAGGTACTATATGAATGCTCTAGTTTGATAACTCTGTAGATGAGAATAATATTAGGATATAAAAATGGGCTACTATTATTATTTATGCACTTTTATGCTGGAAGAATGCAGGAGAGATTTTTGAAAGTGGAAAGTGAATATTTAGTTTTTTGAACAAAGTGAGAGAACAATAAAGTGGCTTCACTGAAGGTAGTAATGTACTGTATCTTATCTTTTTATGAATTCATATGTGGTTATCATGTCTCCTCTTTCCTTTCTATCATCCAAGAAGAGGGAGTATGTGTAAGAAATTAATGTTTTAATCACATACTGATTAACTGGACCTTCAAGTACCAATCAAGATATGATAACAATATACTTCAACAATTTACAACACAATTCGGTAAAAGAAATAAGTGAATAATGGGTTGGATCACATCTTGATGTATGTATCTGGCTCTCAAAGAAAGAAACCAATAATCTTTCATTAAAGAGGCAGAACTCCCTTAGAGCAAACACTGAAGAAATGCCACAGAAAAAAAATGCAAATTATGCATGCCAACATATTCAAACTTCATCATAATTCAAAGTTCTTGTAATGCCCATTACAGGACTTAGAAAAGCAAGAATAAAATGTTAAGATAAATATCCTTGAGAGATTGCAACATCTGTTATCTTATGATGATTTTTTTTTTTTGCTACAATGTCATGGTGGAAAACAGGAAAAAATATAATTTTTGCACTACATAATAAGCAATGATAATTTTTGTATATTACTGTATTTGAAAGGTTTTAATGTTCTGAATAAAAGCAACATAGATTAATTCATGTATGCCTAACTAAACTGGAAAAATTTCTACTCTGTCACTTTCATGACCAGCAAGTTTATAACTGCCTGTATTCCTTAGGCCTATGAAAAAATAAACCCTCTTAGTTATCTCAGAATAAACCTTATCATTGAAGAGATAGAATAATCTAAAGTCAAGTACTTTTAACTGAGGCAAAATTTCCTCTTATCATCGGTTGTCTTATCATACAAGATTGGTAGAGAATCAAAACAATTCTCAAAACTTTTCTGTCATATTTAACCTCTGATCGAATCTGATCTATTAAAAAACAAACAAAAAAAAAAAGGCTAGTAAAACTAAGATAATGGTGTACAAGGACACAAGACAGATCACTCCTCAGGACAGCAATGTAAATACATTATGTACTGTATTATTAAAAAGGTATGATTACCCTATATATGTACTACTAAATTTACAGACCCAATAAGAATACCCACAATGTTATGGTGTGTATCAGGCTTTGCTAAAAAGCACTGCTTGCCTAACAAATTAAATGTTCAATTCATGTTTTGATATATTACTACTGTTCTACACACTGGCAACACTACCAATAAAATTACTACAATACTGCATAAGAATTTACTGTACATACAGAACTGTATCTGAAAGTAAATGATATGATGACACTGACATTATGTAGCTGAAGACACAGTTTAGGGCACATAATATGGAAATGCATTGTCCCCATGAATGAACTTTTCTTCGACCCTAATACAGAGATAGCTAAAACTAAATCAATCAAAAATAAATAAATAAAATATATACAGTGGACCCTCGAATTTCATAATCCCTTTTCTGTGTGTAAAACTATAGTTATCCTCAATAAAATGTATTTTTTGTTTATATTTCCCATAAGAAAAAAATGTAAATCCAATTAATCCATCCAACACATATAAAATTAACAAAAAATAATTTTATGAGAATAACTAATAGTTTTACATTCAAAAAGGATTTTATATATATATAAATAATATATATATATTATATATATATATATATATATATATATATATATATATATATATATATATATATATATATATATATATACACATACATACCTGGAGAGGGTTTCAGGGGTCAATGCCCCCATGGCTCGGTCTGAGACCAGGCCTCGTAGTAGATCAGGGTCTGATTAACCAGGCTGTTACTGCTGGCTGCATGCAAACTGATGTACAAACCACAGTCTAGCTGGTCTGGTAATGACTTCAGGTGCCTGTCCAGTGCCTTCTTGAAATCAGCCAGGGATCTATTGGTAATCCCCCTTATGTATGCTGGGAGGCAGTTGAACAGTCTTGGGCCCCAGACACTTACTGTGTTGTCTCTCAGTGTACTCATGGCACCCCTGCTTTTCACTGGAAGAATGTTGCATCTCTTGCCGAGTCTTTTGCATTCATAAGGAGTGATTTTCACGCATAAGTTTGGTACTAATCCCTCTAGGATTTTCCAAGTGTATATTATCATGTATCTCTCTCGCCTGCATTCCAGGGAATACAAATCAAGGGACTTCAACTGTTCCCAGTAATTTAGGTGCCTTATCGTACTTGTGTGCCGTGAAAAGTCTTTGTACACTCTCCAGGTCAGCAATTTCACCTGCCTTGAAGGGAGCAGTTAGTGTACAGCAGTATTCCAGCCTAGAGAGAACGAGGGATTTGAAAAGAATCATCATGGGATTGGCGTCCCTAGTTTTGAAGGTTCTTATTATCCATCCTATCATTTTCCTAGCAGATGCAGTAGATACATCGTTGTGGTCTTTGAAGGCAAGATCCTCTCACATCACTCCCAGGTCCTTCACATTACTTTTCAACTGTATTGTATGGTTAGAATTTGTTGTATGCTTAGAATTTATTGTATACCTTGATACAGTTTTAATTTCCTCAAGTTCTCCATATCTGCATGTGCAGTGAATTAAACTAAGATCTTGAAGTACCGATCATCCACACATCAGATAACCTGTATGTAACAAGTACCGATCATCCACAGGTTAGATGATCTATAACAAGTACCGATCATCCACAGGTTAGATGATCTATAACGAGTACCGATCATCCACACGTTGGATGATCTATAACAAGTACCGATCATCCACACTTCAGAAGATCTATAACGAGCACCAATCATCCACACGTTAGATGATCTATAACAAGTACTGATCATCCACACGTTGGATGATCTACAACGAGCACCGATCATCCACACGTTACATGATCTATAACAAGTACTGATCATCCACACGTTAGATGATCTATAACAAGTACTGATCATCCACACGTTAGATGATCTACAACGATCACCGATCATCCACACGTTAGATGATCTATAACGAGCACCGATCATCCACACGTTAGATGATCTATAACAAGTACTGATCATCCACACGTTAGATGATCTACAACGAGCACCGATCATCCACACGTTAGATGATCTATAACAAGTACTGATCATCCACACGTTAGATGATCTATAACAAGTACTGATCATCCACACGTTAGATGATCTATAACAAGTACTGATCATCCACACGTTAGATGATCTATAACAAGTACTGATCAAAATCCACACGTTAGATGATCTATAACAAGTACTGATCATCCACACGTTAGATGATCCATAACAAGTACTGATCATCCACACATTAGATGATCTATAACAAGTACTGATCATCCACACGTTAGATGATCTATAACAAGTACTGATCATCCACACGTTAGATGATCTATAACAAGTACTGATCATCCACACGTTAGATGATCTATAACAAGTACTGATCATCCACACGTTGGATGATCTACAACGAGCACCGATCATCCACACGTTACATGATCTATAACAAGTACTGATTAGTAAGTAAGTAAGTATACACAAATACAGTTACATAGAATTATCATACATAGCAGCATGTGTAGAGAACCTAGGATAACCCAAAAAAGTCAGACAGAGTGACTTATTTCCATTGGGGTCCTTTTATTTCCATTGGGGTCCTGATCATCCACACGTTAGATGATCTATAACAAGTACTGATCATCCACACATTAGATGATCTATAACAAGTACTGATGATCCACACATCAGATAACCTACAAGAAGTACTGATCATCCACACGTCAGATAAGTAATGACAGATGAACAGAACAGCAGCTGGTACTGTCCAGTTGTCACTGCCTGGGGAGACGGAAACTATCAGCCACTGGCCACACACTCCTGGTCATAATGCCACCATCACTGCCAATATAACTTGTTTCTACTCACCAGTTAAGAGAAGAGTACCAGGGTAGCAGGTAGAGGTGCCTACAGCACCAGGTACTATCAACAAGTGCCATGGTAGCGAGGTACACGTTGCTTCTCATACAACACTGATAAACTACTCAAACTATCATAAAAAACCCAAATGTTTTCCTCTTCCAGGGAGGACTAATGTTACATATTACAAGAGAGATCGAGAGATATAAGCTTTGTTTTTACAAGTACATGTATAAGGTATACAGGTCATAATGTGTATACTACCCCTCAGTATCTAGTGGTATATTATACCAAGTTATTGACGTGTTAGATAACATCAATGACATAATATTATCTAGAAAGCCCCTTGAAGTTACTTAGGTAGAGGTACACATAAGGACAATTGTCATACCTATTAACATATGTGTAAATTACCTAGGCTAGCCCCAAAAAAGTAATAATTACTGAAGGCTAAACACACTCAAAGGTGTGCATATACCCTTCAATATCTAATGTTAGATTAGGTAAATATCTAGTTTAGGGGCTGGTGTGAGTTGATCAGTAACTGAGTCTTTAAAATGTCCAATATTTTATGAAATGGTAAGAGCCGTAACGTAACCTAGGTCAACCCAACCTAATATAACCTAACGAAACATTACCTTAACCAACCAGTGGTAGATATGGGAATTCTTTGTTTCTGCTTAAGATGGAAATAAAGTACCATATTGAAAATAAGAACCCCACTGGAAATAAAGGACCCCAATGGAAATAAAAGATCCCAATGGAAATAAAAGACCCCAATGGAAATTTAAAGGACCCCAATGGAAGTAAGTCTCTGACTTTTTTGGGGTTATCTTCTATGTATGATAATCTGTGTAACTGTATTTGTGCATACCTGAATAAATTTACTTGCCAACTAGGTTATTAACACAATGAAACTATCATAATGAACACCGTGAACAAAAATACAACGGTGTCTCGTGGCTCGGTTAGTAGTGCACTCGCCTCACTAACTGTCCATGGTTCAATCACCGGCACGAGTGGAAACATTGGGCATGTTTCCTGACACCTGCTGTTCCTGGTCACTAGCAGTAAGTAGGTACCTGGGCAAGTTGATTATTGTGGGTTGCATCCTGGAAGACAAGATTAAAGTACCCCAATGGAAATAAGACGGATAGTCCTCGATGACGCACTTTCTTGGTTATCCAGAACGGCTAACAAACTTTATCTTATCTTATACCCGTAATTATTCCGGTGGCAACCCGGGCACCCTAGCTGTTGTGGCCAGTGAAGTCGTCACCTCATGGAGAGAGTTAGTTTAATATGCTTATTATGCACCCCATACCCATCCTGTGGACGGTAGTCAAAAGATTACAGAGGTACATAATGGGTCCAGGGACTGGGCCTCAAAGTTTTGATAGCTGAGCAAGTTACAGAGGTAATGAATTCACAATTTACAAAGGTAATGAACTCACAATTTACAAAGGTAATGAACTCCAGGTAGGTCTAGTCACAATCATGACAAGTTACAAAGGTATTTACAGATTACAGAGGTACACAATGGGTCCAGGGACCGGGCTCCAAAGTTTTGATGGCTGAACTAGGTACAAGGTAATGAACTCACAAGTTACAAAGGTAATGAACTCACACATGGAGAGAGAAAACAGATTATTATTATTATTATCAAATTAAGCGCTAAACCCGTAAAGGTCGTACAGCAAGGGAAAACAGAGACAGGAACAGTGATGCTCATTCAGTGTGCACAGACAGTATTTCACTGTTTAAAAATAGTCAAATGGGTGACTGATGAGCGATGAAAGTGCCTTAGACAGTGAAAATCTCAGTTATGTTCACTGCAGAACTTTTCATCATCTTCAATACACAAATAAGCCACACATAGGACCGAAACGACCACACCAGACCTGGTCGTCAAGACCACACCAGACCTGGTCGTCAAGACCACACCAGACCTGGTCATCAAGACCACACCAGACCTGGTCAAGATCACACCAGACCTGGTCGTCAAGACCACACCAGACCTGGTCATCAAGACCACACCAGACCTGGTCAAGATCACACCAGACCTGGTTGTCAAGACCACACCAGACCTGGTCAAGATCACACCAGACCTGGTTGTTAAGACCACACCATACCCTGTAAAGGTCCCAATGTTAAAAAAAAAAGTGGCCGGGTGGTCGTGTCCAGCTCCTAGTGAGGAAACATCTGCAACTTCAGAGGTACAAAAATCGCAGTTGCAGCGTCGGTGGCAGCGTCTATGGATCACAACCAAAGCATCCGGGTTCAATCCTGAACGGGTGGGCATGTTTCCTTACACCTCCTGCTCCATAATCACCTAGCAGCAAATAGGTACATGTTGTGGGTTGCAATCTGGACATGATAGTATACCTTTCGTAGGGCCAGGCTTAAGTAGGTTAACAGTTCTTGGCTAGTAAATTTAGCGGTTATAAATTAAATATGATGAGAAGTGTATAACTAATGCTGATACATATAACACCCGGAACGAGGTTAGTGATAGTGAAGATGAGTAGAGTATCAGTGACGGGGAAAGTGATATCAGAGGTGAGTGTTCCTCCTCTTCACCCCCTATCACTCTGCCTCTCCTCTTCTCCCCCTATCACTCTACCTTGAGATGCCGCCAACTGCGTATTCTCCGAAAAAAAAACTCAAAACGTGTCTGCCAGGTTAGTTTAATTAATATCTTTATTATGCACTTCATACCTATCCTGTGGGATTAGATTTTTTAGATTTTGGCACCAAAGTGGCTAGTTTATTGTGCACCTCATATCCATCCTGTGGAGGGTAGCGCAAGAACATGTGGATACATAAAAGGCCTAGGAACTATACCCCAAAAGGGTTAACAGTGTACATATGGTTTTATTTATCTACATATTTACAGTTCGCTTATCTGTTACAAGCAAATTAGGAAAATTTGCTTAGTATAATCTGGTACTTATTTTCATTAATAAGATATCTTGACATGTCACATAGGTTATTATATTGTTTCTGTATTCCTCAATAAGCGGACAATTAAGCACATAGTGTTCAAGATAGTGACCATATGCCTGATCACATAATTTACATTTAGTTTGATCATCATCTGTGTCTGCCAAACTGCCAGAAGTACTTGTAACCAAGCCTAAGCCTGGCCACTACAACATCAGTCAGTCTGTTCACATTGCAAGTTGCTCCATAAACATACTCCTGTGGGCGTTAGTTAGTTTAATATATTATGGCACCCCATACCCATCCGTGGGCGGTAGTCAAAATATTACAGAGGTACATAATGGGTCCAGGGACTGGGCCCCAAACGTTCTGAGAGCTGAACAAGTTATAGTGGTAATGAATTCGTTACATGTTTATATCTGGTTACAATCGCAATGAGTTATTTATGCATGCAAGAATTTTTTTTTTTTTTTTTTTTTATATTTTATTTTAAACATGACATTACAAAATATAATATGTAAAACTCATTTAAGTCTATAAATTAACACAATCCTCCTACAGCTAATGTTACACACCACGCTTACAACTCCGTGTGGGTACACCCCCCCCCCTCCCTGCTCCCTCATCCTATCACTTAACCCAAACCTGTTGGAGCTACTCAACAGAATTACATGATATGAACAACACTTTTATATACACATCCCTCGAAATGGTACTTAATGATCGACTACAGACCATGCAATGCATTGCACTGAACATATTATACAGACATATTACCCCCCCCCCTAGTGTTATACCAACCACCCCACAGTTACAACCTAACATACTATAACAATGAATGTTGCCTAATCTAAGTCACACAGCAATGATCCAAACATTAATTTATGTAATTCCTAATGGTTCAGTTACATAACAATAGTATTACACAACAATGGTGATATAGAAAAGTCACAAGACATACAAAATTACTACAAAACCATAAGAATAACTTAGTCTCAAAATCCAACACATATAAGCCTTTACACATTTAACATGCATTCCATGTTAAACATCACACAGCTTCAACTATGACATTCAAGCTCTATACAGCTTATATGGACATTACATAGTGCTATTGACAACAGTACAATACAACATAAAATATAACCATGACACAAGTAACACATAAAGACTGTGCCTAGCACGCACCCAACCACAAAACCCTATAACACCACTGTTGCCCAACTTTATTACACTATCTGACGTGCATTAACCTCTTTACTCTCAAAACAAAACTGAAAATTGCAGAACACCAGTGACGAACAATAATAGCACAGACATTAATACAAACATATCACATCATATCTCTGGACCGATGCATGATCACAGCATCAACACTAATGCAGTGCAAGGCACCTAGAAAACAAGTTGGAGCAAACACATGCAATATTATAGCAAATCTCCAAATTACAGTGTCATTACCGTAAATCAATATTACCCACACACAATATGTATAATAAGTATAAAGTCCTGTCACACCAAAAACTGCCAGCTCCACAGGTGCTAGCACCCGTGGTCCACATATTATTCCTCATGCATCACTCATCCAACACTCTCGCAAAACTTTTGTTATCCATTAACCAGGGAGGCAACCCTGTTTTCACCCCTGACTTCCGACCCAGCAACACTTACCAATCATACCTCCCCTCCCTCGTAATTATCAAGTCTAATAAAACCTGTAACTAAGTTGCCTATATCCCTCTGAAAAATCCTTCACCCACCTCCTCCCATAAATTTCCTTATTTCTACATACCGTTTTAAGATCGTTAACGCTAACACCCTCCTCTTCACCTCAGAACCTGTTTGCCCCGCAATCCCCACACTATATAGATAATCTGCCATAATGTATCCCACAGCTCTGATTACACGTTCCTCCCAACCCCCCACGTCGAGACTTAATGCTCTCAATACAAAATTCCTTACCTCCTATCCCTATTTATCACCCTATTTAACCACCCCTTGACACCCTCTCCCATCACAAAAATATACTACATGAAAAGCCGACTCCTCCCCCACATATCCACACTCCCCCCCGTCAACGACTCGTCTATCCCGTAGAACCACACCCGACGTAAAATGCCGTGCAGAAAACGATACATTACATCCCGAACACGAGGTTGCAACCTCATCCTACTCAACCTATTCCATA